GTGTCTTGGTCTTGATACCCTCTGGTCTCGGCAATGTCTTGGTCTCGGTTTAGGCGGTCTTGACTACAACACTAGTTTATATAACCCACACCATTTATCAGTCACTATTCCGACAGCCAGCGATGTAGCGACGATAATCTGCTGTACATTTCATCACCACATCTAGCAGGGATGGGGCCAGAGCATGTTACTGACACACACATCTTCTTCGCAAGGTTGCACACCTCTTTAAAATTTGCCTTAGTGATCTCCAATTGCCTCAATCAGACATCATTAGTGCCGACGTGGATAATAATATGAGAGTATTTACTTTTACTTTTAGCCAGAACTTTTAGATCTGGCACCAAGGAGACAATTTACTATGGTCGCTGGAGTCGCTACTCTCACGTTTCTTAGAATAGAATCACCAATTACTAGAGCACTTTCAACAGGCGTCTCAGGGGGAGTTACACTGAGTGAGGAGAACCTGTTGGAAAGGCAAATAGGCGAATGGTGCTGGTGTGAGTTAGGTTTGGATTTACGGCTATGCCGCCGGGTCACCCACTCACCTTGCTGCGAAGGCTCTGCTGCCAGAGCAGGGGGAGACTGAATAGCTATGGCGGACATATCCGGAGCCTCTAACACTGAATCGATAAAACTCTCATTCTCCTGAATGTTCCGTAACGTCCGGATATGTCCCTCTAACATTACAATCTTCTCCGTCAGCCTAGCGACTAACTGACACTTCTAACATGTAAACGTACCAATAATGACTGGAGAAGAATAACTAAACATATTGCACTCAGTGTCACGGTACGTGCAGCACGGATAGGGAAAGCAGGCGAACGGAAGCCAGGGATCGGGGAATACGGAGTTTAATGCCAAAACACAGAGCACGCAACAAAACAACATCAATGACCGAACTGGGGATACAAACGGAAACGCGGACTAAATACACTGAACTAATGACAACAATCCGAAACAGCTGTAAAACACTGGGATTCCACATGAGGTTAACGAGGGGGCGTGGCACACATTAGGATCGGACGGAGCGGGGTGTGACACTCAGAGTCAGAACACAGAACAGGAGACATGGCGTTGTATTTACGTGAAACGGGAAGACTGAGGCTTTAAAGTTGGAAGTACCTTTTTTATTGAATGGAGATCGTGGGTCGGTGCTTGCGAAGGTGATTAATCCGTCGGGGTTTGGAAATTATCGGAAGACTATTTGCAAAGATTTTTTCTGATGACAATTCTAATTATGATTTAGGTAATATCTATAGTTTTAAAGTTTGCGCGCTAGCAACCATGCATTTTCGCTCTCACGGGAAATGGCGGAAATGACGTCACAAAGAAGTACGGGACGGGAGGGTCTGTGTATAATGGGAAAAGGACAATAGTCTAATTAAATGTTGTAGTTCAGCTATAACTGTAGCTCGATTTAGCTGTGCATGCAAATGTTCTGACTGTTGTGGAGTGCGCTCTAGGCTTGCACAAGTCCCCTGGGGGGTCTAAGATTGTCCCCAGAATGCTGCTGTGCTGTTATTGCTGTGTGAGCTATACAATTTTATTTAAATTTATTTTGGTCATCTCCTGAATAAATTGTTTTAAATCTGCTTTTGAGTAGTGTAACTTCCTTTTCTTATCGCCAATCAATTATTTTCCACAGAGACCAAAAAATTATGACACAACTAACCAGCACCACCTGCTGATGTTACTTTTTGACTTGAAAATAAAAAGCCTCCTTAAATGTGGCTATAGAATATCTTGTAGTTGTAATGGGACAGTCAGATTGCTGCATAAAGTCTTCTCCGGCACATCCCAAAGATTCTTGATGGGGTTAAGGTGGTGGCCAATCCATGTGTGAAAATGATGTCTCATACTCCCTTAACCACTCTTTCACAATTTGAGCCCAATGAATCCTGGCATTGTAATCTTGGAATATGCCCATGCCATCAGGGAAGAAAAAATCCATTGATAGAATAACCTGTTCATTCAGTATATTCAGGTAGTCAGCTGAACTCATTTTTTGGGCACATAACTTGCTGAACCTAGACCTGACCAACTGAAGCAACCCCAGATCATAACACTGCTCCCACAGGCTTGTACAGTAGGCAGTAGGCATCACCTCTCTTCTAACCTGATGTACCCATCACTTTGAAACAATGTAAATCTGGACTCTTCAGACCACAATACCTTTTTCCATTACTCCAATATCTATGCTCCCTAGCAAACTGAAGCTTTTTTTCCCCAATTAGCCTCACCAATAAGTGAGTTTCTTAAGGCTAAACACCTTTTTAGTCCTAATACTTAGTGGAGATGATGGTTCTCCACTATCTTTCCAGGTGTTAATAATGCATTGGCCAGTTCTTTACCCAGTTTTAGTAGTTCAGGAATCTCCTTAGTTGTTTTCTTTGCTTGATTGTAGGTCAGGGCTATTCAACTCATTGGCCTCAAGGGCCAAGCCCTGCTGATTTTCCAGCCTTCCTTCACCTGTGAGCCAGGGGCGAAGCCTCTGACCAATCAGAATCAGTAATTATTAAACTAACTACCTAGGAAACCTGAAACCAAGACCTGGATTTGTAATCGAGGGCCTGAATTGAATAGCCCTGATGTAGGTCAATAATATTACCCTTCTGATACAGCATAACATCTTTTCCACAACCACAGGATATGTCTTCTGACATACTTGTTTAAGAAATGAGAAGCTACTCACTGCATCATTTACGGTTAAATAACTTGTTGCCAGCTGAAACATATTAAGCACCGTAGTACTTATCCAATGGAAGGCTCTTACCTACATGCTTACTTAATTTCAGGTGATGCCTTTTTTTGGATAGGGAGTGTGTCATTGTATATTTACCTAGCAAGCTAGTGTTGATGTGTGCCAAAATGAATGCATAAAGCTGACAGTTCACGGAATGCATCACAGCATGTCAGCTGTAACTAGATAGTGATGCATCATGATAATTTATGCTGTTACCTAATTTTGATATGTCACATTAATTTTTGAAGTTTAATCAGTTGTATTAATTTGCATGCTGTTCAAACATTATACTACATGTATATTAGAACATATAAGAACATAAGAAATTTACAAATGAGAGGAGGCCATTTGATCCATCAAGCTCGTTTGGGGAGAACTTAACTAATAGCTCAGAGTTGTTAAAATCTTATCTAGCTCTCATTTAAAGGAACCCATGGTTTTAGCTTCCACTACACTAGCAGAAAGACTATTCCATACTCTAACTACCCGCTGTGTAAAGAAGTGCTTCCTCAAATTCATTTTAAAATGTTCTCCCGCTAATTTCCACTTATGGCCACGAGTTGTAGTATTTAAACTAATATTGAAATAGCCATTTGGTTGAACAGTGTCCAGACCTGTTAGAATCTTATATACCTGGATCATGTCCCTCCTTAGTCTCCTTTGCTTGAAGCTAAACAGATTCAGCTCAGCTAACCTGTCCTCATAAGACATTCCTCTAAGACCAGGAATCATTCTCGTAGCCCTCCAAGGCAGCAATGTCCTCCTTAAGGTATGGAGACCAAACCTGCACACAATATTCAAGGTGGGGTCTTATCAAGGAATTATATAATCATAGCATCACCTCCCTTGACTGAAACTCCACACAGCTAGAGATGTAACCCAACATTCTATTGGACATCAAGGTGTTGGTTACCAGTGGTGTCCCGTTTTTTTACTGGGGGCCAGATGCAGACAAAAATAAGGAGGCACAGGCTAGAGGCTAACATAAAGTTTCACAAGCACATCACTTTGTATGTCATTTTAATGACACTAATATTTTTACAGTACAGTATGAAGTGTGATGTACCGTATCAAGATTATAAACAATACATTATTCACCAATAACATTTGTAATGGAATCAGTGTTGTTTCTTGGACCGGAGAATTGCCTTTAAGTCAGGCTTAAGTTTTCTTGTGAAGATTCGTAGAACATCTTGGACATGACTTTTATTCCTTGTATTCAGATGACTGGTGAGATTGATGTAAGGTGCTAGACTGTTAAGTGCTGTCAGTCCTGACCCTAACTGGAAGCCAGTGTAGAGAACTAAAAGCAGGTGTTTTGTGTTCAAACTTTCTGCTCCTGGTCACAATTTGAACTGCTGCATTTTAAATACGCTGCAATGTATTTAATGTGCAGTTTGTAACAGGGCATTTCGTGGATCTGGAATCTAGTTTTCTTTCTTGGGTGTCACCATTACGAATTTGTATTTGTAGATTAGATTCAAATCATTAGAAGAAGCATTGTTAATTGGTTATTATGACAGCAGCAGCTACTGTTGGAACTGCATTTTAATATTTTCTACACTTTTAATATTTTCAGCTTCTAAAGCTCTGCTGTACCTCCTTATGTCCAAATTGCTTCTTCATTTTGTAAAAGATTCAGAGTGAATGGTTTAATAAAAGGTCAGCTTTGTGCCGAATGTTTTTTTTCATTAGGTTTAATGTTAATTTTTGTTAGTAGGTTGGACCTAACATTAATTTCTGCAGGGGATGAGATTTCCTGTATAGCATCTTGAATTTTTGTTCCATGTTTTTGTATTGACTTGTTATGCTTACCATACTGCTGCCAAAAATTCACTTACTACCTAGGTTCTGCTACAGGTAAGACGTGTAAGAAGAAATGTGTGAATAACTTGATATTTTATTGCCTGTTCACTGAGACATATATCCGCGAATAAGCAAGAATATGTAGTGATAAGCCATTTTGATGCATTTCTAAGATGCATTTATGTTATGTTTCAAATGAATCAATTACTGTTTAACAATGTCAGATATCAGCATAGCATAAAATGACATGGGAGCCAACACTGAAGTGCTATAATAACAAAATGATGATTCTGATTTTGGCTACAGCATATCTGCTGAAACGATTGTGGTAGTTACAACAATTAATAACAATTGCAGTAAGGAATATTTAAATTACTTAAATTAATATTTATATACTTAAATATGGTTACTTTTTAAAATGTATTTTTCACATATATATCTGCCTCAGATGAACTTGGAGGAGGTACAGATGAGATGAATCCTTTTTCCTTCAAAGAATTCATTCGGAACAAAAACCAGTCTTCAAGCATTATGGGATGTGAGGAAGGAAAGAAGAGTGGACTGTTTCAGAAGGTATTTCAGCTATGACATATCCAAATCCACTCTGACTATAGATATATATCTTATGTGCTATCAAATGATTTATTGCAAATTATAAAATTATGTTACTGTTAAGAGTGCATGGCATGTTAGAGGTACTTTGGTTTGTCTGATATGGTTGATCAAGTCCTCTGTTAAATGTAATTTTAGGATTTTTGTTCCTGCATTGTTGAATGCCTTTTGGCTATAATAAACAATAATTTGCCTTTGAATACATACTATAAACCATTTTTATATAAAGTGAATATCGATCCATCCGTCCACCTAAACTGACAGACCAGGCAAGGAGAGCACTAATCAGAGAAGCAGCCAAGGGGCCCATCGTTACTCTGGAGAAGCTGCAGAGATCCACAGCTCAGGTGGGAGTATTAGTTGTGTACTCCACAAATCTGGCCTTATTAGAAGAGTGGCAAAAAGAAAGACATTGCTGAAAGAAAGCCACAAGACGTCCCATTTGCAGTCCCCATCCACAAGCCATGTAGGGGACACGGCAAACGTGGAAGAAAGTGTTCTGGTCAGATGAGACCAAAGTTGAACTTTTTGCCTAAATGCAAAACACTATGTTTCGCGGAAAACTAACACTGCACATCACCCTGAACACACCTTTACCACTGTGAAACATGGTGATGGCAGCATCATGCTGTGGGGATGCTTGTCTTCAGCAGGGCCCGGGAAGCTGGTCAGAGTTGATGGTAAGATGGAGCTAAATACAATGCAATCCTGGAAGAAAACCTTTTAGAGGCTGCAAAAGACTTGAGACTGGGGTTCACCTACAGGACAACGACCCTAAACATACAGCCTACATACATAACTACAATGGAATGGTTTAGCTCAAACCATATTCATGTGTTGGAATGGCCCAGTTAAAGTCCAGACCTAAATACCATTCAGAATTTGTGGCAAGACTTGAAAATTGCTGTTCACAGATGCTCTCCATTCAATCTGACTGAGGTTGAGCTATTTTGCAAAGAAGAATGGGGAAAAGTTGCAGTCTCTAGATGTGCAAAGCTGGTACAGACATACCCCAAAAGACTTGCAGCTGTAATTGCAGTGAAAGGCGGTTCTACTAAGTATTGACTAAGGGGGGTTGAATACAAATGCACGCCACACTTTTTTCAGATTTTCATTTGTAAAAATTTTGAAAACCATGTATAATTTTCTTTTCACTTCACAATTTTGCGCTACTTTGTGTTATATAACATAAAATTCCAATAAAATACATGTAAAGTATTTATATTCCAAAATGTGGAAAGGTTCAAGGGGAATGAATACATCCATCCTGCGGCTGTGTGTCTATTAATCCTGCCATCGTGCATCAAGCACCACGTGCCTGCACCGGTCGGCCGCTG